ATGGCTTTTAACATTCACAGTGGTAGGCGTAGCCCGCGTGTGACCAGGAGGGAGCACGTGGACTCCCTGCTTCTTTGTTTTCTTAAGAGATAGGGTTTTGCTTTCTAGTCCAGGCTAGCTCCCTGTGTTCTGGGCTCGCAGGCATGTTCCACTGTGACTGGAACATACTCGACCAACTGAACCAGCCCTGGCCTTCAGATCCCGTGTCCTTATACCCCTACACCCGTTGATGAACCTTAGGGAACGTCCCTGTACCCAATAGCTACGACACTGGAGATGTCCCACAGTTGGTGGTGCGAATCCTGTGTTTTGTCCTCCATGTATTCCCGCACAGTACAGTACCCAGCAGGCCTCACGCCCATCAGGAATCTTCTGAGTAGTCAGGGCTGCTGTGCTGGGTCCCTCCTCTGGGCATTGGAACATGCTGCTCCCTCTGGAACACTCGACCTCAGAGCTTCTTTCTTGGCTCTCAGAAATGACATCTCCCTCAGAAGATTATACCCCGTCCTTAGTCTGAATAAGGGGGCCTCCTCAGTGTTTCCATTGCTACCCCCCCACTCCAGGGTCTGGTCTCCAGGTCTGTGCCTGGGTCTCCAGCCCTACAGAGCCCCTCAGAGCTGGTGGGATTTAACAAAGACAATTTAGCTTAATCAGATCAGCAGGGCCCAGCTAGTGCCAGCAGCACATAGTCAGCCCAGCCTGCTCAGACTTGGCCACACTAAGCCACCTTTGAAGCAGGATAGGGAGGCTTCTGGTCGTCAAGAGAAGCCAGGCTGCCAGGGAAGCTCTGCTCTGGGTTACACCCACCTCTGGGTGACTGCCAGTCTCCCTGCCAGAAACCACAGGCTGGGTCTGGGCTGCCCGGAGTTCGGGCCACAGGGCTCAAGACGCCGTGGGTCAGATCTGCAAACGGGCGTTTGCCGGACACTTCTGGTCTCTACAGGCCCCTGGGGGTGGGACAGGGGCCCTGACAAGGCTGGAGCTGCTGTGGCAGTGGCTTGGGCTGGAGGCTTTTCTTGCTGGGAGCTGAGGAGCCGAGAGAGGCTCCTGCCGGCTTGTCCTCAGTTCCTGACACTGGTGGTGGCTTGGGCTTCACACCCTGACAGACGCCTTCTTGGTGGCCTCAGTGGCCTCACATTCAGGTAACTGGGCTCATTCCTGGGAGTATGGGGAGGAGGGCAGACACTACAGGTGGTGTGTGTGTGTGTGTGTGTGTGTGTGTGTGTGTGTGTGTGAGAGAGAGAGAGAGAGAGAGAGAGAGAGAGAGAGAGACTGTCCGTCCATCTGTCTGTCTATCTGTCTCTTTTCTCTCTCTCTCATGTACTTAGTAGAACCTTATAGTTTCTAGAACATAAAGACTCAGGTCTTGCCTCCTAGGTTTGAAGCTGGCTTCCCGAGGGACACGGTGACATGAAGGGCACCCCGCTGACCCATCTTCTGGCCATCTCCTTCCTCTGCCTACCCTCAATGGTAAGGGATCCTGGTCTTTTAAAGTAGAATTCTGGGTGGACGGATATGTGGTTACAAGAGGACCCTTAGTGGGACCCTACATTGGATACAATCCGGTCTCTGTGCCCCGGCTTGCTTCCCTCCCTGGGCTCAGACAGCTGTTCCTTGCAAGTTCTGCTGTGTGACCTCAGGCACGTGCCCTTCCCTTTCTGAGCCGTGGCCTCAGCGGAATGGGCACAAGGATCCTCTGGGGAGATCAGAGGAGAATTGCTCTGTAAAGAGCAGTGCAGGCCCTGAGCCAAGACGAGTGTTCAGAAGAGACCAGTGATCAGGCAGGGACCCCCCAGTCTCCTCCGCAGAGAGCAAATCAGGTGTAAGAGTTGCGTAACCAGGGCAGGGATGGATCCTGGGGTTCAATTGCAAGGCACAGAGTGCTGGCCCTCAGTCGGGCGGTGACCCTCTGACCCTGGTCAGAGAGAACAGGAGACATCTCTGTGGGTAATGTCCCTCAGTGTCATGTGGGACATTTTTAATGGGCTTGTGTATAGTTCCACTTTGCCTCCCACTCACAACAGTCTTATAAGGTGTTTTCCTTTTTTAGTCAAATGCAACTTAGAGAGGGCGAGCAATTGCCCCAAAGTCACACAGCAAAGAACAATAGATGAGTAGCATGAAGGAGCCTGGGGCAGACATGTTCTGAGACCTCCCACCCCAGCCTGGGCAATGCTTCACACTAAATGCTGACTTTCCAGTAACATGGATCCGGGGCCTGAGACCAAGAGGTCTCCCTGACAAGGTCAGAACCAGCTGGCTTCCAGTCTTGGAAAGGATGGGCCGAACAGGATGCTGGAGTGGGTGACTTAGTCTCCTGGGCTCCAGGGAGGGAGAGGGGTTCTGAGAGGCTGAGGAAGAACGGCCTGGATGCGCCATTGGAGTGGCATCTGTAAGGCCATCCCTCCTGGTCCCGGCAAGGTGATTGGCACCTGGCACAGAAACTCAGGGATGCAGCCATGGGGAGCATGTGAAGCCACATCCTTCATGGGGCAGAAGTGAGTTCCAGGTCTTCCGGGCAGGCTGCGGGCTCCTGGCTCTGGTCTGGGGTTGAAACAGGGAACCTGAAAACAGTGAAACTCTGCTGAGATGGCTTGAACATGGGGACATGTTGGCTAGGGACATGACGGTTAGCAAGGGCATAGCAAGGGCATAGGGGAGGAGGGGGCCGGAGGATGGGGGTGCCTCTTCCTTGTCACTACCCTTTAACAAACGAGTAAACCGAGGCAGAGGCTCAGCTGCTAATAGAGGAGCCCCCATAGAGTAACCTGCAGGCACAAGAGTTAAGCCTGGGCTCTGGTTTCCCAGAAACCTGGGTTCTGGTCCTATCCACCAGGTATTTACTTCTTGTTTTTGACCTATTTTGCCATTATTGTTTTGGACTTCATTTTTAAACAAATAGCTTCTGTAGCCCAGGCTGGCCTGGAACTTACTATATAGCTCAGTCTGAGTTCAAACTTGAGGCAATTCTCCAGCTTGGGTCTCCCAAATGTTAGTTCATCATCTTTAAGCCAGGCAAGCTGCCCATAGCTCACAGGAGAGTACTACAGACAGCTTGCCCACACAACACCAGAGTAACCGGTATCATTAGTGGGTTGTGCTGGGGGTCAGGACCTGGAGAAGCTGGGCGCTACTGAGGATCTGCAGCCGGCCTGGGGCTCAGTATAAGGCTTATTTCCTACTCAGCCAGTTCTGGTCAGCCAAGGGAGTTAAAACCCTGTTCTGAACGCCCCTCCTCTTTCCTCCCAGGCCCGCTCCAAGTGAGGTACCCCAGAATGTATTATATCTCATATTGAGGTTACACAGAAGGCTTGGAGAGGTGACAGTGTGTGTTCTTTATAAGCTCCCAGAGACTACTGGTCCTAGAACCCTTTGGAACCTGAAATTCTGCAGAGTACCCTGCCTGAGGTGGGAGCCTCTGGTCAAGGACAGGCAGCAACTCTGTGGCGGCCCCTGCTGGTCACAGTGAGAACTGCGGGCCCTGGAAAGCAGGGTTTTGGGACTCTGGGTCCAGGGGCGGAGGACAAGATGCCCCTCCCCCCTTAGGTAAAGGGATCACTGCCTCTTTGGGCCAATCAGGAGGTTTGGAGTCTTTAGTTGTCTCTTCCTAAATCGCAAATCCTCCACATAAGGCTGTCTACTTCTGCTAAAGAGTGAGTGATCCTCCACCGCGGGGTCAGGCAGTCAGGAGCATCTTGAATGGTACCTCTCTCGTGGTCCCCACCCTCTAGGAAGCCCATGACTTCTGACACTTCATCTAGGTATTTTTGTCCTGGGTGGAAGGCACAGTTGTGTCTTTGGGGGAAGTTTTGACCCTGCAACGAATGGGTACTGAGCCCCTGGCTCAGATGTTGCCTGTTCCAGGAGAATTCTACTTCTCTGGTATAGTGAGATTTCATTTGTATTTTAGTAAATAAAGCTTGCCTGAAGTTCAGAGAGTAAAACAGTCACACTGATCAGCCATACAGACCAGGCAGTGGTGGCACACACCTTTAATCTCAGTAGCCACACTATTGCCATAGAAATCGGGCGGTAGTGATGCAGGCCTTTAATCCCAGCACTAGAGAGGATAAGATGGGAGGAGACGGCTCTCACTCAAAGTCTCATTCTGAGATCCCTGGAGGCAGGGTCGCCATTTTTGGACTAAGGTCAAGGTAAGAGCCAGTGGCTGGCTGCTTTGCTTTTCTGACCTTCAGGTTGAACCCCAATTTCTGTCTCTGGGTTTTTATTAATCATGCTACACTCTTGGGCCACGAGTCCACATCAGGGAGGTGGTCTTGGCACAGCTCCCAGATCTGGCTACGGGCAATCACTTTTTCCCCCTTTGGAGTCAATTTCCCCATCTGTGCAGGGAGGTGGGGGAGTGGGAATGGGATGGAGGTGTGGGGGTGGGGAGTTGGGCTGGGCTGGGCCAGGGAGTCTGTGAACCTAGCTGGAGCTAGAAACTTCTAGATAGCTTATTAAGTAGAGTGCAGGTCCTCCCTCTGTGCTTCTAGTTGAGTCCTGGAGGCCTGGGAATCTGTATTCCCCTTTCCTGGCTAATCTGGCGTGCACTCAGGGCTGGGAAACATGTTGGGCTGTGCCGAGACCAGGAAACTCCCTGCTCTGTGTGATTTCTTCGCCCTGAGGGTAAGCACTCACCCAGGAAGTGTTAGCTTCCCTTCTCACTCCTCAGGCTCTCGCTCTTGCCTTTCGGTGAGTTCCTAGGTTAGCCTCCATTGTGATGAGCAAAGATGACCACCAGCATCAACCACACTCAGGAGGCTGGGGAGACGCTCGGTGGATGGGTGAAGGGCTTGCTGTGTAAGCGTGAGGACCCGAGATCGATCCCCAGCACCCGCACGTAACAGTCAGGCACAGTGGGGCACACCTGTACCCCAGTGCTGCGGGTGCAGAGATGGACAGGTCCTCAGGGTTCACTTGGCAACCTAACCAATTGGTGATCATAGGGCACAGTGAGAGACCTTGTCTCAAAAAAAAAAAAAAAAAAAAGAACTGGATAATGATACGGACAGAGGCAGCCGTGGGGTGGTGATCTCTTCACATTTACACACATACACGTGCATGCCACACATACATGTGTATCCCCCCAAAAAGAAACCCCACGTATTGCTGACCTACCCATGCAGGGGTAGGTGACATCATCCCCACTTTCTTTTACACATGAGGAAAGCCAGGCTTGGAGAACTCAAGGAACTCTCAGGTAACTCCACCAACATGGGAGCTCCTAGGACTGAAACTCTGGCCCCGGGGTCCTTGCTCAGAGCACAGTGGTCATGCTGCCTCTCAGGAGCACCCTCAGATGGCCCTGGTTCAGGGCTGGTTCTGTGTAACTCCAAGGCCAAGCTACGGGTCCCATGCTGTCTGATTTGGCCACGAAGTGACCAGTTGTGAAAGTCTCCATACCTGCCGTGATAGTCAAAGCTAAGTAAGGTCTCTGTCTCCTCAGGTGGGTGCCCAGCTGTGCCCAGCGTCCTGTACTTGTCCCTGGACACCACCCCAGTGCCCACCGGGGGTGCCCCTGGTGATGGATGGCTGTGGCTGCTGTCGAGTGTGTGCCCGAAGGCTGGGGGAGTCCTGTGACCATCTGCATGTCTGCGACACCAGCCAGGGCCTGGTTTGTCAGCCTGGGGCAGGCCCCAGTGGCCGGGAGACCGTGTGCCTCTGTAAGTAGGTTTGCTAGACTAATGGGGGGGGTTGTCAAGGCCACGGGGTCCAGAGCCAAGTGGAGCTCTGATCTCTGTGTCTCTCTGACGTTGCTTTAGGCGCTGTGTTTATTTGGCTCAGCCGGTGACCTGAGGGTTCCTGGGCCCACTCCCTGTTTCTTCCCTCTTACCCTCTGCTGGGACTTCCTTGGTGACTTCAATCCACACCCACCCAAATCACAGCCAGCTCCAAAGCTGGGCCAACTGCTGCCCCAAGGCGAATACACAGCCCTGTGGGGAGCAAAAGCACAGGCTCCAATGGGGAATGGTGTGTGCCCCCAACAATGCTGGTCACTCACTGTTCGTGCCCCATAGTTCCGTTGCTACACACAGGGAAACTGAGGCTCAGAGAGGTCAGCTAGCCAGCTCTATGCCCTCCAGCCTGTCTCATCTCCAAGCATTCCCTCCATTCCCCACTGGGAGCCGTGGGTTGCGTGTGGACCCCAGTGCTGTTTCCTAGTGGTATTGGATGTGTGACATTCCTCACCGGTCTCAGGCCTGGGTGTCCTCTGACACTTTGGGGTGCCAGGGCCACTGTTGAGGGGAGGCTCTCTGGTCTGACAGTTAGCAGCACCCTCTGGACCTATGAGGTGCCAGAACCAGCTATCAGCGGTGATCTTGCCAAGGTCACCAAAGAGCAAAATTGCACCGGCTGAAGAACTGTAGAGAAACAGAGAAGGGTTAGATTTTTATGATTCATCTATTTCATTAAGTGCATTTCACACTTTGACAAAAATGACCTCATCTGCTCCCTTTCTTGCTCCTGTTCTCGGCTCCAACCACACTGGCCTTGAACACCCAAGTCAGGCTCTCTGCCTCAGGGCCTTCGCCCTGGCTGGTCCTCTACCCTCATTCTTTCCCTGATACTTTTCCTGATTCACACATGGAAAGCTCCCTCTCTGCCTTCACCCACTACTCACATGCTATGTCATCCATGAGGCCCTGTTACCACCTAGTTAAGATACTGCAATTCCTCTCTAGCCCCTTACTTTCTCCAGGTGCGATCACCAGCCGGCACAACCTCATTGGCTGTGTTTGTTTTCACTGGAATGCTCCAGAGGGGAGGATGTTTGCCCATTTGCCCACATAGCCTGAATTACAACTGCTTGGCACATGGCCTAGGCCACTGTAGGTGCTCAGCAAATATTTGTGGCATCACGTGGCTGACGGCAGAGGTTCCAGCGGGGCGGGCAGTAACAGGAGCCCTTTCCTTGAGTCAGTCCTGTGGGAAAATGCTTTATAAGCCGGCTTTACTTTATCCTTAACACCGAGGAAAGAGCCCAGTGTTGCCCGTTTTGCAGGCGAGGGAGCTCAGCTCAGAGAGGCTCGAGTCACTTACACAGGTCACACAGCTTGCAAGCGGTGGAAGGGAAAAAAACCAGTAACTCCATGATTCCTGTCCTTGCAAATGACTTCCAGAGGGGAGAAGGGATGTTGAGAGCCCCCAGATGGCAAGCCTGTGGCTTGTGCTCAGGGGAGCCTGGGGACCCCAAGTGAAGGCTGCTGTCATGTGTGGATAGGGAAATCCTGAGATGGTTCATGGGGTTTGTAATCCCAAGGTGCCTCTCACAGCGCATCTACCCTGCTGAGGGGTTGGCTGCCCAGCCCCACTTGCACCACACCTAGCCAGCTCTGAGCTGATGACCTCCAAAGTGCCAGGAACTCTTGCTAAAATTGTCGTCCTCCAGTTGACCTTCCTAAATGCACCTCTGTTTACCAGGTTGTCCTGGCAACTTGGGGCCCAAAGCCGAAGCAGCAGAGGTGGTGTGCGTGTGTGTGTGTGTGTGTGTGTGTGTGTGTGTGTGTGTGTCTGTGTCTGTACGCACACATGTGCGTGTGTGTGTGTATGCGCATGCATGCATGTGTGATAAACGTGTGTGTATGCATGTGCACACACATGTGTGTATGTGCACGCATGCATGTGTATGCGTGTGTGATGGATGTGTGTGTGCGTGTGTGTGTGATAGTGTGGTAGAGTGAGCCTAGAAGTAGCAAGACCAGGTAAGGAGCAAGGCACAGCTACCTGGGCAGTTCCTAGGAAACCATTGGCAACCTGGCCCAGGCCAGAAGGTCCAGTCTTTGTATCCAAGGCATTGATCTGGAGGCCGTGGAGACAGGGAGCTGATACAATCATCCTCTCAGAAGAAATATGGGTATGTGAAGAGGAGCACTCTGGGCTCCAGCTCTCCAGGCAGGTGGTGATGGGGCTGGCCACTCGGAGGATTTAAGTAGCAACTACTGAGCCCCACAGCCAGCAAGTTAAACCTTGGCAGACAGCAATGACCCCACACAGGAAGAGGAGAGACGGGATGCTACCTAAAGCCCCAGGCCCAGTGTGCTTCACAGCTAAATACTAGATATTACTAATTTCACAAGGTCTCCAGCCCAGGCCTCCTCCTGAGTGCTAGGATTACAGGAGTGCCACCAAGCACACCACCGCACCGAGTTCATACATTGCTGGAGATTGAATTCAGAGCCATGAGCCGGCCAGGCAAGCACTGCACCCACCAACTGAGCCACATCCCTTTACCCAGGCTTCATTTTGTCAGATTTATTACAATCATGATTTCATTTAGTCTATGACACACTCTGAAACAAGAGCCAACATATACTCTTTCTCACGTAAACTGGTGCAAGAAGTAAAATACCTTGGTCCATGGGGTCCAAGCCAGGCTCCTTGATGCCTCTCTGGCAGGTCCGTGGTGGAGGGGTGCGGTGAGGCGTGATGCTCGGACAGGGTGCCTGTCTTGTGCTCTGGTCCCAGGCCCCAGAGCCGCTCTGCTTTCTCCTTCCACAGTGAAAGAAGATGATGGAAACTGTGAGGTGAATGGCCGCAGGTACCTAGAAGGGGAGACCTTTCAGCCCAACTGCAGGGTCCTCTGCCGCTGTGTTGATGGTGGCTTCACCTGCCTGCCGCTGTGCAGCGAGGATGTGAGACTGCCCAGCCGGGACTGCCCGCGCCCCAGGAGAGTAGAGGTACCTGGCAGGTGCTGTCCTGAGTGGGTGTGTGACCAGGGAACGAGGCCGAGGATCCAGTCTTACACGGCCCAAGGTGAGTGAGTGTAGGGTGGGCCCAGGCCACCAAGGCCTCAGCTGCTGGGGTTGGGGACGAGATGTCAGGATGCTGCAACAGCCTCTGGAAACTGACAGAATAAGAAGCAATCACTTAGAGATATGATCTCAACTAATAAGTCATTTAAAATAAAGTTTGAGGGACCTGAGCTATAACTTGGTTTTTAAAAGCACTTGTTCTTGCAGAGACCCAGATTCAGTTCCTAGCATCAATATGGTGGCTCACAACCTTCCATAACTCTGGCTCCAGGGGATCTGATGCCCTCTTCTGACCACTGGGGACACCAGGCATACACAAGGTGCACGTACGTGTATGAGGAAAACCATACACGTATAGAATAAAAATAAATCTTAAAAACAAAAGAGTTCTCAATCAGGTGACAGGGGAGAGGAGGGAGGAGTGTTAGCCCTTGAGCCAAATTTGTGCATCTCACAGCAGTGGAATAAATAAGATAGCACAGATAATAAATACAGTATAGACTAATAAAATATGACAAAATATAGATATACATACAGAGCATATATTTATGATACTTAATACACGTGGACAATTTACAATACTTTGAATACATGATGATTTGGATTTAGTAAACGATTCGGTAAAAACTGGACCAGGCAGAACTGGAGTTTGGGATACAGCCTAGGTCTGAGCAGAGGTACAGACAAGACAGCTACATTCTTTGACCAACTCCTCGACTTTGGGATTTTGTTGCCCTGTTTCTTGAAAAGCATTACTGTTATCACATGAATTTGCCTGGGGAAGGTGACCAGGAAGTAAGGACTGGTTCTGCGGATGCCACCACATGTGGAAGGCAGGAGACGGGGTGGGTTAAATACATGGACACTACATGTCTATACCGTGCTCTGGCCTTGCTTGCTGTGTGACTCTGAGAAAGTTGTTGACTTTCTCCAACTGGAAAGTGAAACTAATAAGAACCCCCACCTCTGTGGTGAGGACAAACTGAACCAGGACAAGTAAACAGGTTGTAAAGATGCCTGACACTAAGCCTGCATAAGTGCCCTGGTCACCGCCATCCCTGCCAGGGACAAGACATATCTAGTTGGGCACGTAAGAGAGAGTCATCCAGCTCACACTATGTATTCTACACTCCCATAGTACTTGGAATCGAACCCAGAGCCTTGTCCACACCAGGCAAATGCTCTACCACTGAGCCATGCTGCCAGCCCTTCACTTACATATTAAAAGTCGAGATCAAAGCTCTACCTGCCATCTGACCTCCACTGTGTGTACATGCACAGGGCCACAAACATACTTGCAGTTGGTCCCCTGTATCTGTGGATTCAGTCAGCTGCCCACCAAGAATAGTTTTGCCATTGGGTTCATACTGAGCACGAACAGACTATTTTAGGCGTGAGACTCTTCCTTAGCAAAGGTGGTTCCACAGCTCTTCGGGAACATTGCCCCATTTTAGCCAGCCTTAGTGATCTGGAGGTGACCTGTGTTCCTAGGCGGGTGTGTGGGTTCTGTGCAAACACTGCACTAGTTGTACAGGGGTGCCGGCACCCTCACATCTCAGCGCTCTTGAGCAGTCCTTGATCCAACACCCCCTGCTCTGCTGAATAAACAAGACACCTGTGCGTTCAAAGCGGAGTTTTCATCAGCAGCACCAGTGACCTCTGGGACAAGTCTCTCGCAGTTTGGGACTGTTGGGAATATTGTGGGATGCAGAAAGATAACCTGACCTCCACACTCTAGATATCAGCAGTACCGGCCGCCCCCCCCCCCCACAAAATAAACCTTGTATACACTGACCGTGACAACTGAGAACTCTCTCTAGAGTTTGCCAGATGTGATTTTTTTCTCGGGACTAGAAGGAAGAACATCAAACATCAGAGGTGAATGGGGAAGGTAGAGCTAGGCCATGGTGAGCCTGTTACCTTGGCCATTCTTGCCACCAGGCTAAAGGGCCACACAAGTGTGCCTGTATGATGCTATGTATTAGAGCGTAGGAAGGCGAGAAAAAAAGGAGGGTGGCGATTTTTAGTCATCTCGTGATGGATGTCAGCCGGGTGCACTGTGCTTAGACTCCCCAGCCATTGTTTCATTCAACCTCCAATGTCGGGAAGTTTAGGAAGAAACTAAGGCTAAGTCTCACCAGGGTCCCTGTGAGGGCTAGCAGGGGGGCGGACTTGTCTGTGGAGTCCTGATCTTTCCATGTTCACCCTCTTCTTTCTAACCCCCAGGACATCAACTTTCTGGCCTCGTCACTCCTGCCTCTGCTGATGTTCCCTGTCCAAAATGGAGCACAGCCTGGGGCCCCTGCTCAACCACCTGTGGGCTGGGGATAGCCATCCGAGTATCCAACCAGAACCGATTCTGCCAACTAGAGATCCAGCGCCGCCTGTGTTTGTCCAGACCCTGCCTGGCAGTCGGGAATCGCAGCTCCTAGAACAGTGCCTTCTAGAGCCAGCTGGGGACGGAGCCCGCCATTCTCAGCAGGTGTCCCTAGGACCTGGCCCTGATGGTAGATGTCCCTTTCCATGCTCTTGGCTGCAGTTAACTGTCCTGGTTAGGTTTGTCCAGGGCCACTGAGGGTTGCATGTTCTGTCCGAGGTAGAGGGAACAAATGACCAACTCCATCCATTACTCTTACGCAGCCTGGGATTCTGACCCAGGCTTCTGGGCTCTCCTGGCTTGTTCCTTATCAAATATGCACAGGACAACTTTCTCTCCAAACTTCACCATACCAAAAAAAAAAAAAGACTGTTAAAAGGATCTTGAAAGCTAAGCTGTGCTGGGCAAGCCTTGCCATCATGCCGGGGACAGTAGGGGTGAGGAGACACCAGGAAACATTGCCTGAAACTCCCAGTTCCCTTCTTGGACTTCTATGCGCTTATTCCCAAAGTCAAGATTATGGGTGGGCTAGTGAGTCTGGCTTCCCTGGTCTGAGACTACCTTACCTATCTGAGAAGAGTTCAGTGGCAGACTTCTTTGTGAACGTGAAGAGATGAAGCCATATTGTCCCGAGGAGCGTCAGCAAGATCCGTGAACTTCACTCTGTATTTGTAAGAATGCAGATTTCTTAAGCACTCGAAAAGCATGAGGTTCACAGCCCCACACTCCGGCAACCCAGGCCTCTTCAGCGTGAGGAAGATGAGGGACAGTGGGAGTGCCCTCCTCTGGAGGATAGGACCAGCCAGGAATAAAAAGCCAAGCCATGGATGGGATTTTGTTTGGTGTCCTGTGTTTTCCTGTCTGAACAAAAACAAAAACAGAAACAAAACCCCACCTAAATATAAACTTCACATCCTCTCCCATGGTCCAATTTGTGTTTATTTTAAAAATAGAAGTGGGGGCTGGGGAGACGGCCTTGTTGGTAAAGTGTTTGCCAGGAAAGCATGGAAACCCAGGATGAATCCCCAGAACTTACACACAAAAACCAGGTGTGGTGAGACTCACTCATGATACCTGTACTGGGGAGTCGGAGGCAGGAGGATCCCTGGGGTTCCAAGGCCAGTCAACCCTCCTTACTTAGAAAACTCCAGGCCAATGAGAGACCCTGTCTCAAAAAAAAAGAAAAAGAAAGAAAAAAAAAAAACAGTGGACAGCTCCCAAGGAACAATGCCTGAGGTACTATACACGCACACATTCAAGTGCACATGAACACACATACACCACATACATACACATGCATGAATACCACAAACAACAAATAATTTTTTTTTTTGAGTAGGGTTTCTCTGTGTAACAGCCTTGGCTGTTCTGGAACTTGCTTTGTAGACCAGGCTGGTCTCAAACTCAGAGATCCACCTGCCTCTGCCTTCTGAGTGCTGGATACTAAAGGCATGTGCCACCACACCCAGCAACAAATACTTTTTAAACGGGTGTTATCATCAAGGTCTAGCCAGACAGTCAGAGAAGTCTCTGGTCAATGTGGTGGCACATGCCTCTAATCCCAGAACTCCGAGGAAGAGGCAGGTAGATGGATCTCTGTGGGTTTGAGGCCAGCCTAGTCTACATACTGGGTTCCAGGCCTGCCAGAGCTACACAGTGAGATCCTGTTCAAAAACCAAAGACTAAACAACAATAATAGTCTTTGTCCTTAAACAGTGATCTTTTTCCCCTATGAAATTTTGTTGAGATGTATGTAATTCACGCAGTTAAATGCACAAACCACAAACCTGTTGAGCCTTCACAACTGTGCACCCTGCAACCAACCTCCGTCTACCTCCGTCCAGGTAGATAATGTTCCCATCACCTCAGAACAGTCCTGCTCTTCCTGCTGCCCCCTTCTCGTGATCTGATGAGCCCTGTCCTACCTGATCTCCATCTCCACAGGCGTGAGTTTTGCCTGTTCCTGAGCTTCGCACATTCGAAGCCACACGCTCTTTAACAACTGATGCGTCCCACTCAACAGAATAAAAAAAGAAGAAATATTTAGTATAGGTCCTGAGTCCATCTGAAATGAAAGCAGCCTCCCGCTGGCAGGACAAGGTTGCCAAACCCAAAGCTGGCCGGAAGGCAAGAGGAGAAGGCCCCCAGTTCCAGAGTCACCAAACAGGGAGAGGAAGGGCAGCCTTTGTGATTCTGTGTGGTCAGAATGATGGACAGCAGGGCCAGGAGCCTTCCCTGTGTGGAGATATGGCACTGGGCTCAGAGATGAATGAAGATCTTCTGAACTCCTTCTGTCAGGCTTTCGTAGCTGAGCTTCTTGGGCCTGGCTGGCTGAACCCCAGGAAAGTGTCTGCACTCCCTTGCTTAGTGCTGGGTTGGAGCAGCAGGGGAACTGCATGTCACTGACCCATTGCTCTCTGGAGACTCCTTCTCTGTCCCCATGGCTGAAGCTCCCAGAACGGAGCCAGACTCTGTGGACTGGGGCACCCCATCTTTCTGCATGTTGAGGGAGATAAGGAAGGTGGAGCTCCTGTAGCAGAAGGCAGAGAGAACTCCCTGACCTGACAAGATGCCCAGCCCCCTCCCTGTCCTAACTGGCAATAACTCTAGAGAATCTGGCCCTCCAGACCTTGCCCTGGGGTTGGCAACAGGATGGTGTCATTGTCTAGAGAGCATGTGTGTGTCCTGGTGCACCTGTCCGTGACCTTACAACATGGGAGATACTTGAAGGAGCTCCTGTTCTGCAGAGGGGACACTGAAGCTGGTGAAGTAAACTTCAGCTGCAGTCAGGACTGGGAGGCTCGGAACCAGCTGAACCCACAGCCTGTGCGCTCTGTCCCCCACCCATCTCTCTCCTCTCTTTTCCTCTGATCCTTCCCCCTCTATCTTATCTCTTCTCGTTGTTTTCAATCTACCTTTTCTCTCCCCTCTCCCTTCCTCCCAGTTTGTCTTTTTCCTTCCTCTCCCTCCTTCCCTCCCTCCCTCCCTCCTTCCCTCCCTTCCTCCCTCCTTTCCTCTCTTTCTTTCTTAACTTTAACTGGTCTATTATCAACTATCCAGAGCTCACGTGGTCATTTGTCCACTGTTCAAGAACAGCCTGCCCCTCCACCTGCATCTGGTCTGAGCAGGATCGTGCATTTCCTTAGTCTCCTGTCCCCAGCCCGCCCTGAGTCCGGTCCCCACTTTGCTAAAAAAAATGTGTGTATTATTAGTGGTTTCAAATGGGCTTTGGTAGAGGAACCTGTAACATAGTGCTGCCCCCTAGTGATAGTTGTAAGCGTGAAGCGTGGAGAGGCTGCCAGCTGATAAAGTCCTGGAACTAGAGGTCACTGCCGCCCCCTATTGCCCAGCTGTAAAAGTGCAGCCTATTTGGAGACTGTCCCCAAGCTTCAGCGTGAGGTGGCGACAGAGGTAGCTAGTTTCCCCCTCCCCTCCTGGGGGAGGTATTTTGTTGTTTTTCTATTTGTGCTGAATGCATTATTTAATCACCAGCCCTGAGGCAGGGTACCTTGTCTGACCCCCATTGTGAGAGCCTTCTCCCATTGGTCACACTGAACAGCCAGGAATACCTCTGTAAGCACAACCACGGCTAAGTCACTCTGCTTAAAGCCCTCTGGGACCCTGAGATAAACCTGCACCTGATTGGACCAGATTCCTATGACTCCCAGGCCTTTTGTGTCTTCCATATCCTCTGTGCCGAGCACCCCCATGGGTATGGCGTCCCCTCTTGTCCAGATTCTCCTCTCTAGGCCTTTCCCAGGCTGCCTGCTCTGACCTGGATGGCTCTGGATAGTCCTTATGACTCTGTCTCACTTTTCTCTAAGGCGAAACTTCTCTGGCTTCCAACTAGATAAAGAATAGACCCACGTAATAGTGATTGGCAGTTTCAGAAGTCAGGGAGAGGAAGAGGGTAGGAAGCAGAGGGAGGGTGGAACAGAACACGCAGCCATGACTTGAGCTGGCCACAGTCTCTGTGTTTCTGGGGGAATTATAAGGCAACGAAGAGACAGATATTATCACTAAATGCCATCCGGAGAGCTGGCACAATTTTACCAGGGGTCTCGCAGTTGGCACATCGCAGGCCCAGGACCTAAACCTGTTCTCTCGCTCTAGAAACTTGCCCCTGACTTCACTATGTAGGCTGAGGGAACTTAGAGCAGGAGCAGGAAACCAGTAGAATGTTTCTAAGAGCCTGCAGGTGAGTCTTGGAGCTTTTGGGAACATAAGGTTCTTGGTACCTTGTCTTTGACCTCAGCTGTAAGTCAGACTTCATCTGGGAACCTGAGCTATTAGGAAGTCCCACTCAGAAGTCTGTTGTGTATGCTTCATCTAATTTGACTGTCACAACAATTTACCTGATGTGTCCATAGGGTGATGCTCCCTGCCTTAGTAAACCCAGCAAGCATTCTGACGGATGGCAGCTTTCCTTTATGTGATGCTCCTGGCCGCTTACATGGTGACCCACCACTTCCCAGGGCACAGGGTCTTCCTTATCTATATTGCAGAGATGGAGAAGTTCCCCTATTCCCTAGAGGTCATGCCTGGAACCCACACTCTAACCTGCATTCCGTTGGTGATACTCATCCCATAATCACTTGTGGCTGTAAGACAGACTGGCAGATGAACTGTCTTGCTGGGCAGGTGTCTCCCAGAGTCAACACCACACTTTGGAGTCTTTGTTAGCATTAGGGTGATAACAAAATTCTCGTTAGTAGTTTGTTTAAATGGCTCACCCGGCTAATCGGCGCTCTCCAGGCGGTTTGGATGGGACACCCCTGCCACACGCCTGCTGAGTGGCCAGCAGGCCATTCTCTGGCACCCTAGTCCCCTCTGGCTTGTTGCCATCAAATTGCATGCTTGCCAAGAGTTCGTCGGGTTTGTTTCCAAACTGGTCTGCACCAGCCACACTGGTGTTTGTAAAGAGGCAATTGAATTAGTCGTCCCATAAGCTGGTGAAATATGAGCACAAAGAGAAGCGCTTTGCTTTTTAGGAAAGCTCGATAAAGACCTGTGGTTTAAAAGCTACTTTAAGTCGGGCTTGGAAGAAACAACTCCGAAAGCTCTGGAAAGAAATATCCAGGAGGCAACTGGAGCGACAGACAGCTCAGTGGATAAAAGCATATGCTATTCTTAAGAGGTCCCAGGTTTGATTCCTAACACCATGTCAAGTGGCTCACAACTGCCTGTGACTCCAGCTCCAGGGGGTCCAACGTTTCTGCAGGCACCTGCACTCTCGTGTGTACTCACACATGCACGCGCGTGCACACGTGCGCACACACAATTAAAATAATAGAAATAACTTTAAAAGAAAGAACCATACGAGTGTAGAGGATTCTGCTCTCCAGCTGTTCCATCAGTCGCCTGCCAGTCCCTGGGTGTCCTTCACATATGGGGGCAATGTGTGAAGCTTGTGAACAGGACTAAGCTCAAGGAATAGATTGAACAGAACACAAGTGTTTGTTTTAAATTTAATAAAAATCTTCCAGGTGTGTCAGGCAGTGGTGGTACATACCTTCAGTCCCAGCACCTAGGAGACATAGGCAGCTTGGTCTACAGAGCAAGTTCCAAAACAGCCAAGGCTACATAGAGAAACCCTGTCATTTGTCCTTCTAAGCCTGTGATATCTCTTCTCTAGGGTGGAATCAAAGTTCCTACCCCACTTGCTTTGAGAATTAACTAAAGGCGCATCTGGCAGAGGGTCATAAGAATGCTAAAATCCAGGCGAGATGATACATGCCTATATTCCTAGCAGTCAAGAGGCTTAGGTGAGAGGAGTGTGAGTTTGAGGCCAGTCTGTACCACATAGAAGTGTGTGTATGTGTGTGTGCACGCATGCGCGCACAATACTTAACTAGGCAAAGATGTTTAATTACGCATTTGTTTAATTACGTAAAGGTGTGTTGCTTTTGTTTATGCTGCATTTGTTTAACTATGTAAAGTTGTTTCACCTTCCCTGCCTAAGGCACTTGATTTGTCTAATAAAAAGCTAAACAGTCAATAGTTAGGCAAAGGAAGGATACAAGGGGCTGGCACACAGAGAGAAAAATGGAGTCAGCCAGCCAGCAGTCAGCCAGCTGGGGCTGATTTGGAGGAAGCAGAAAAGCAGATTGGACAGTATTTAGATGAGGTAAATAAGTCTTGGGGTAGCACATAGATTAATAGAAATAGGTTAATTTAAGTGTAAAAAAAAAGCTAGCTAGAAACAAGCCTAAGCTAATATGGAGCATTCATAATTAATAAGTCTCTGTGTCATGATTTGAGGGCTGGTGGTCCAAGAAAGACGGCTCTATGTTTGTTTTTGGGTTTTGTTTTTTTTCGAGACAGGGTTTCTCTGTGTAGCCTTGGCTGTCTAGGAACTCTCTTTGTAGAAGAGGCTGGCCTTGAACTCATAGAGATCAACCTGCCTCTGCTTCTGAGTGCTGGGACAAAAAGCTTGAGCCACTACTGCCTGCCCCACCAGTGATCTTTAAACAAACAAACAAACAAACAAACTCAAGCAAGTTCTCATTACTCAGAATGATCCTCCAAGTCAGATCAAAGATACAACAGGAAAAAAAATATAAGGGAGTGGTTAGAGACTGTATTAGTTACTTAGCTGCTGCTGTGATAAAACACCACGACCAAGGCATCATATAGAAGTTGTATGTGAGCTTGTGGTCCCAGAGATAACTTGCACCTTGAACCACAAACAGCAAAGAGTGTGAACCGGGAGAGACTGATGTCTTTGAAACCTCAAAGCTCATCCCTCACCCCCAGAGACATACCTCCTCTAACAAGCCCCCCCCCGCCCCCCCCTAAACTTCCCAAACTGTGCCACCAACTGGGGACCAAGCACTCAAAAATCTGAGTCTATGGGGAACATTCTCATTTAAACTATCCCAGAGAGAAACAATTTTTAAAAACTGCTTTACTGTGAAAATCTGAATGCACACGGAAGCTGAGAGAAATATTGATAGCTCTCAACATTCCTTTTTGTTGTTGTTTTGTTTGTTTTGCTTTTTTTCTTTTGAGACAGGATCTACTTGTGTAGTCTCAGCTATGCTGAACTTGCTTTGTAGACAAGGCTGGCCTCAGATGTCCAGAGGTCCAGCTGCCTCTGCTGGGATTAGACGCATGTGCCACTATGCCTGGTCTAGGGCAGATTTTTATTATTAGCTGTTAGCAAAATAAAAAGGTCAATAATGAAAGTTTTTTTTTTCTTTTCTTTTTTTCTTTTTTTGGTTTTTCGAGACAGGGTTTCTCTGTAGCTTTGGAGCCTGTCCTGGAACTAGCTCTTGTAGACCAGGCTGGCCTCAAACTCACAGAGATCACCTGCCTTTGCCTCCCGAGTGCTGGAACTAAAGGCATGCACCACCACTGCCCAGCAGAATAGTGGAAGTTTTAATATCTCCATTAACCTTACAGTATCCATCCTCATGCAGCTGAAGAGAAGCCTCGGTGACTCTTAGTAAATGGTCACGGACAAGTGTCACCACTGCAGCCCTGGATGAGACTATCAGCCAGAGAGGGGTCATGCGCACATAGTTGCCATTTGTCCCCCAGATAGCATCCTCATTCTGGGACGTCACCAGCATTCTGTGGTTAGCGAGCTGCAGCTTTTTATGTATGCAGCCCAGATCCCTGAGTGACAGTCAGGCTGCTGACAGGCCACAGCTGCTCTCTAAGGAGCTCCCAACGATGTCCCCTGGGGTGAGAGCAGTCTGCTAAGAGACTGAGTCTGCTAAGAGAGACTGTGTCTGCTAAGAGAGACACATGGGGATCGTATCAAGGGGAATGCCTGAGCCTGCTGGCCTTCTGGAAAATCACAGAGCTTATCTAACTGAAAAGAATCAATTTCCT